CAATTCGAAAATTCCCGAGTACAACTCGATTTTTTCCGAAGAACCTCTTCCTTTTTCATTATTTCGTCTCGGAATGCCTAGCACTTCTACTCTACAATAAAATGATATGTTTAGAATTACATCTGTCAATTTTATTTAAATTTTATTGGCAACATGTACACCCAAAAATACTTTTGTTCCCATGACTTACCTGTCGGCGGAATCAAGCAAGACCCTGCTTGTCCTAGTAAACTGCATCTCAACCAGTTCAGAGACACAACGAATACCACGGATTCTCTGAAAACCGTTGTGGAATCTATAATCAGAATATGGGCTGTTGGCAAGCAGCCATACCTAAAATCGCATTAATCCTCAAGGGATATTTAAATGTAAACCTTACTAAAAAAAAACTATTCTTGGCGGCTATTCTAAAGGCTCTTTGGTATTTACTTAGTGTTTTGGATGGATAGGCCTTATTGCGCACAAATTTGAAGCTTACACAGTAACAGCCATTTTTGACTTTTCGAAGATTTTCCATTTTTCTAAAAAGTTGGTAGTTCTAAAGAACTTAACAATACGTTAAGCATTTCCTTTACGTTTTCAATTTTCTTAAAATTTTTATTTATCAAAACGGATATTAGGTTCACTCGTTGGTGTAAATTTGCGAGTGACTAGCAATCATTCATGTAGACGACTTCCGTCTTGTCTAGATAGCCAACCATATCCTTTAGATGTACACACTGAGTGCACAAAGTAGTCGAAGGTTTACGCGCTACTTTTATTTGGTGTTCTCTAAAGCGCCTATTAACAAGTTCATACACATTTCTTGTGTAAGAGGGATTTTACCATCTACTGATTTTGGGAATTTAATAGAAACTATTTAGTTCCTTTGTTTTTAACTCTTACTGATTCATACATCTATGTACGAAATTTCTAGGGTAGCCGTTATGGGAAAACAATCCAACTCGATAACTTAGTTCAACGAGATAGCTTTTTTCGTTGGAACAATGTGTTTTTGCTCGATGTAGCAGACTGTTTACAGTACTCCGCTTGTAATAAATTGGGCTGTTTTTCCCATAGTGCAGAGTTACTCCCGCATGTTTCTTTGAGTAAACGGACATGTGCAGTGTTCCCTCAAGCTTTTTTTGTACAATGGCATCAATAAATGGAAGTTTATGGCCAATTTCATTCTCGATTGGGAATTTAAATCCCAGAATGGTGTTGTGGAACGTTTAAAGTCAATCTTTTTTAGCGACAACATATGCGTCGTCTACATTTTATATCCCCAACTGTCTATTTCAGTTTCTGCATTGTCCCTTTGGAAAGAAAGCCAGATACAGATGATCTCATTGGAGTTCAGCTGTGGGAAAATCCCTGTCATATGACTTTAGGATTTCATCTGAGCATTGCCTCGCGAAATCTATTGGTAATGATGTGAATAATGAACCGACGTCAAAAGAGACCTTTTCTCATCTGTAGACATTGTGGTTCTCAATTTCTCAAAAACACCATAGAGTTATGCATGTAATTTTCACAATCTCCTATAAATGACTGGAGTTGGTATAATAGCAACTCAGAAGTGTTGTAACTTATTATACTGATTAATGCTACTATCGATCGCAGTAATACTTCGGGTTTTCAGAACTTTGTGCGGCCCGTAGATCTCGGCGGTGTTTGGTTCAAATTTCCGACATTTTCCCCAATATTAAAGTCGAATTAACACTAACAACATCGGGGTGTTTTAGAAATTATCTTGTATATTTGAGTTAAGCCGCGTAGCAAGACCCAACAGACATGCCTTGACTGTGTCTTCTGTCAACTTCTTCTAATGATCTGCCCATTTTCAGCACATTCTCATGTTTGTTTCTACATTTCAAAACTATTACAATTTGTATTTTCCTATTTTATTCATTGTAGTTATTCTGAAATCCAAAATAATGCTCAACAGCTGTTTGTGCCCTTAAAAAAACTGTTTTATTTGGCAACCATAAGGGTACCGTCGCTCAGGGAGAATAATTATGATAGGAATTCCGAGTTGGCAAGCTGGTCTGCTTACGCCAGAGACAAAGTAACCGTGAAGTTCCCTCCAATTGCACGACTGCATCTCGTGACCAAGTAAGTTGTGACCTTGGGCTCTCACGCTGCACGGATATAACTGGGCATGATAAATGCCTGCCAAAATCCAACAACCGGTCTGCCCGGGTATTGCTGTTGCATTTGTGCGCGTAATATTCTGTGTGATCCCAACGTTATGTAAAAGCAAGCGTTTCCATCTTGCTGTGTTTGTGAGAATTTGAACATGGGTGGAGCTCTTGCTATAAAGAAACTCTGATGTCCAGCAAATCGGACAGGGAAATATTTTCACTGTATAAGCAAATGCGCTCTGTTCTAGGTCCTACGAAATAGCAGGGTCTACTGCAAAAATATAATCCAACCGTTCAACTTTCAAAAGCCGTATCAATTAACCGAAACCAGAAAGCCGTGTTGACAATATGAAGCCGAATGCAGGTATCTAGCATAACTCCCCAGTTCGAAAAACCTACAAATTTAAGGGGAACTTTGTAATGATTCACACTTTTTTTATTGATTTAGTCAGTTAAGTGGAAACACAAAATAAATGTTCCCTAAATCTTTCTTGTACAGCCCTTGCATTGAAAACGCTCTCCTTTTCTCAACACCATTTCATCAAAAGCCGAATAAATGTATGAATTATAGCGTTCCGTCCATATTGTGTATACCATTATTTTTGTTGCCAGAGTCCGACACGGAGATGAAAACGGAGGAAAAGGGTGTATTTTAATGTTTTTTGACATTGTTAAAGCTTTCATAACCGCTAGCCGCGCACTAGTTCAGAGTTCCTTAAAATGTTTTAAATACCGAATGAAATTCAGCGTTAATTTGAAATATTAGGTTCCTTTCTGGCCTTAATATAAATAGAACCTCACAACGAAAATAGTTTCTAACTCAGAAGCTACACAGATCTTGATATATCTTGTTTTTACCACATCAAATGAATATGTTTAAAGGATGTTGCGTGAAACAACAAGCAACAAGCTCAATGCAGACAAATTGACTAGACCTAGTTGAAACATGGTTGAAAACTTACCATAGTGAACACTATCATAATCGAACTTTGGTATGAACACTTAGATTTCAAAGGCGTCTATGGACCATAAATACAGACAGGTCTACTGCCTTATTTTATTACTTTTCGCTTACTTATGACATTTCCATTTGCTAAGCAATCATGATTTAAGCATTTAAGTGGAGTGTTCTTGAAGTATATTATCATGTTTATTTCAAATACCGTCCAGTAATATTTTTATTGGTTAACAAGACAGTTTGCCCGGCGCATCCGACGATGTCCACCGTGTGCTGTATAACAAGTTGAAGCAGGGACGGTGACTTGCGCGTGAATTAGTTTGCGGTGAATGCAGGCTTGCGCAACATCTGCTGCGCCCTTTCCTCCCGACTTGGACCCGATTTCAAGATAGAGTCAAGAAAACCGGAGGCGGTAGAGGGCGCAGGTTGGTGGCACGGTCGAGCCCGCAGCTTGGTGCTCCACTCCACGGCCCCTGGTCCACACAGCGAATAACCGGAATTTTAACCCACAACAAAAGGAGTTAGCGCGGCCGAAGCCACTCCTAGGCGTGCCGTCACACCTAGCCCGGATTCCACGGAGTGGGAAGTTAACAAGATAATACCAGACACAAATACCTGCTAACAGTTTTCTTAAAGGAGTATTTACTTCCATGGATACAATCAAAACACATTTCTTAGCAGTAAGATGAGCAGCAGAATGATACTGACGTTAACGGATGTCTGTTGATCGTGGAGCAGAGTATGGCCTACTTGGTCCGTGTTGACTTTCCAATCAAGAGTACTCTTTGATAGCTCCTTGGCGGGCAACGATCCCTGACAAAGACCTCAGATGAAATATCATTGTTGTGATCGTGACTGGTCCATCCTGCTACATTATGTTGCGAGTGATATATGTCCATGCGCGAGGATCAACAGTATTCGTCCGGAACACTTACCATTTCGCTCTCTAGTACAGAATGCCCAAGAAACTCCCCCAACTCCAGGCCATTTTATGGAGAATAATTTGCATTTAATCCTCCTTTTTGCTTAATTCATTTGGGTGGCAACACTGACAGTATGCAGATGGTCCCAGCGCGACTGCTTCCGTTGGATCGTCCACTGACCATTTTAATATTGTTTTTACCGGTGGGCATAGCCTCATTCGAAAGGAGTCAGAGCATTGCATTTAGCGTCTCCTACTCGGACAACAGTGGTCGAGACGGTTGCAATTTTATCAGTTCTCGAGAACACATCCAACCTTTCCAAACGTGAGGCGAGACTGGCTGCATAGACGCTAGATAGACACACAACTTAAGGGAAGTGGGATATTGAGACGGCCTATGAATATCGCTGACAGGTTTAAAAATCTTATGCGTAACTCCAACCTGAGTGATGAGGTCCGCTGTGTTCTGTCGGTTAGAAGGCAATTAAATCCATTATGTTTCCCTTTGCCCACTTTTTTAAGCCGACCGGCATTGCTCATTATCTGGGCATTCCACTTATCAGAGAAGCAGTTCGAAAAGGCTTCGCTTATGAAAAACTAACGGATAAACCGATTGATACAAAGACGTAATACATCAGATCTCACATTCTGCATATCATTAGAGCTCGGCACTATCGAGCATAATCGCCAATATGGCCAGACTTGACAAGTAGCCGTTCGTATGTTAATTTGTCTATAACGTACTCACCTGCAGAAAGTAAAAATACGATAAATGGCGCAGTAAAATGACACCAGTGACAGAACTGGGGGTAGGGATATGATTTGCAGCCAGGGTAGGTTTTATATACAAGGCTCGCTACTGCATTTATTTGAGTAGACGTTGCTCGGCTACTTTTCGGTCGTGTACCAGTCGAGCCTATCGTAGGGGTTTCATCCACTTGTGCTAATCATCTTACACTCCACCGCCTCGAGAACCAGGCGTTGTAAAAAGGTCTATATGGACTCATTTTACTTCTCCTCACCCCGAGTGTGTTGGATGCAAGGCGAAAGGTTTGCGCGCAATCGACGTCATCCCTGCGGCGCCCTCTTATCCGCATTCCACCGCCAACATATTTGTCGCATCCAAGTAGTCCTTCTCATCCCACAGCAGTCATTCATGGCTACCCCATCTAAGCTCAAATTCACCTTGTTAGCATATCAGAGGCCGAGTATTTGGAATTAAATTGTATCTCGTCAATGTGGGTTCAGACAGCTCGGTTTGACATTAGGCCTCCTTCATGTAATTTATATTTCAGGCGGCTCCAATAGACTTCGACTGCGTTGGTATGCCTGTCTGTAGTAGGTCTTCTGTCGTGACAATACTGCACCAACTTACTGGAGTTCAAAAATCCCATTATCTCATCATTCCGTTGGCAAATCCCTTTAAGGTAGCTTACGTTTTATCCTTCCTTTAGCTGCCGGTCTGCGTTTTAAAAAAACAAATTAGCTTACGGTTTGTCGATATTTACTTCTATTTAGACCATTACCTGCTTAAAGATATTAATGTTTACACCTCAACGGACAAACTGCTTCGCTATGCTCCAATGTTTAACCTATGTATTTGCCTTTTCACTGAGATCTTCGTTACATACCATGACTTATTTTCAATGCATTAACAGAACACCTGCATGCAGGCCATGCTTCTTCTGCTTTCGTTTTTATTCGTTCGTGTCACGATTCAACTTGCCTTGCTTGACTCCGTTCTTGTTTTTGTTTTGGATTTATGTAGATTCCCGCAACTGAATGTGCATCGTGCTTCTTGCTGTGAGCCGCGTTATTTGCACTACCGAACAACGCCTGTGGGCAATTACCATTGGTTGTATATTCCCCTACAACCCGACCTTCCGCTAATTGGGCTGGTTTTATTTATTTAGCCACCGAAATATTTTTACTCGCGATCGAAGGCTACACCCATATAGCTCCTACTTCCAACATTCCCGCAAGGCAGGCTTCTCTGGTTACCTGTCGCTGACCCCGGCCACAAACCATACCTTCACTGGTCGGGGTCTTAAAAAACGTCAGACCAAACAACAGGCAGCAAGTTGAGATTACTGCGGATATGGAAAGTTCAGCGGTGGATAAGTGGTGGGCTTCCGTCAGAAGAATTATTATGAGCAGGGTATATTTCTGTTATTTGCCTCAGTGGCTTGCATTAAAAAAGGACTCTACAAAGAATTCATTCCATAAGCCTAGTAACTAGCTAGAAGTCATGATGGAATGCAAGAATGAATTACAGTATAATGCTTAGTCGCTGCATTCGCAATCTGCTAGGAATACGGCTTGGTTGTGACTCGTCTTTTTGTCGTTTGCCATAAAAATAATCTGAGAAGGGCTTTTTCAAGATCGTCGAAGGGACTTCTATGGAGTAGCTAAATGCGTTATTCTCTTTCTCGAATGTAGGTGTAAGGACAGTTGCGCTGACTTCATTCCGAATGATCCCACTTCCCTCTGCGTTTTTAATAAACTTGTGAAGTCCAAAGGACCGGAATGTGGATACAGGCCAAGTTGGGACGTCGTTGCTGCCAATTCTGAGCTTCTACAGCACAATGGCTTCCCTTCCGGAACCGAGGCTCGCAGGTAGCTATAAAAGCTGATGAATGACAAAACTGTGCTCTGGGAGGAGGGCGACGTAGGGACGGTTTATTAGGGAAAACTGGGAAGGTGCTCAAGATGATCTTATAATTATCATTGACGACGTGAAATTTTCTTCTTGATGGGGCGTTTTTAACTCAAATTTTCTTATGTATTTTTTAGTGCTTTGCCCTCTCCTTATGATACAGCCTGATTGCTCAGAGTAGCGTCATCTTGCAAAAACCGTGAACTGGGTGCCCAGAAAAGATAGCTGGTCTTCCGTGTGTACAAGTAAGTGGAAAAGGCAATTCAATATTCCCTTTAATTTTCATTGTGATTTAAGTCTTTACAGATATATTTTTCCAGCCAGCGCTGTACTCAAGTAAATGGTCACAAACATATAGGCATGGTGATTTTGGTATACACGCCTGCTAGTTACTTCAGACGACACATTTGTTCTAGGGCAACCAAGACGTACCTCTAATGGTCAGTCCATTGAGCTCTGCGCAGATTTTCCTCTATAAAGCAATTATCTGTCGTCAACAAGCTTCAAGACGACCTTCAAAATGTCCTTCATCAAACCCGTAGAATAAATAATGACTGAACGACGCCTCCATAATTTACCAAAATTAGGAAATCGAACTAAATTGGAAAATATGGAATGGCAGGTAGATGTTCAATAAACGATACCTTTAAGTATTCCGGTCCTTTAGCGCACACCCTCGAGTGGTTCAATTAGATGCTTACTAGGACTTAATTTCTTCTTTCTCTTTCACTGTTTTCTTTTCATGTTTTCACTGAGTGAACAAATTTTGCCGCCTCCACGTCGATTCGGTCATCGATTTTTTGTTTGTACTTTGTGCTTAAAGCGACTGGCGGCAGCCGGGTAGCGTTTTTGATATTTTCCACTCTATTCAGCATTTCGCAAACTCTGTGATTTTTTTAAAACATTTACCCGATTACACTACTCCTGAGACAATACTTAGTGCCCAGACACCGTTTTGTAGTTAACAAAATGAGATTCGTCGACATGAGAATAGATGAGCAACGTATTTTCCTCAAATGATTAAAACTTGTTAAGCTGCACACGGTCATTGCATAGTTATATGACAGGCAAACTGTTCAATCAACGATCGACCTAGAGAGATAAAACGTGATAGGTAATCTGAAAAATGGGTCTAGTATGCGGACGGCTGTATCGACAGATCGACGGTGTAGCTATGGGCAGTCCATTGAGGCCAGTCCTAGCGGACATTTTTATGTCCAATCTAGAGCGAAAACTAGCTCGGAACTGACAACGAGCCTCATTCTATAGGCGATATGTGGATGACATTTTCGCCATAGTCAAAAACCCAGGCGACGGAGAACTACTACTCAAGGCTCCGAGCAAAGCACATACAAAGATCAAATTTACGATCAAGCATGAGAAGAATGACACACTGCCTTTCCTGGCAATTCTTGTACGTAGGCGGGCAGATGGCTCTATTCAGAGATTCATCTATCGAAAACCCACCTGGAAAGGACAATACATGCACTTCCTCAGTTTTGTTCCAATTCAGAGAAAACGGAACTTGGTTTTGTGCCTGTTCAATAGAGCCACCAGAATCTGCTCGTCAGATACGATCGACGACGAGCTTACTTTCCTAAAGAACGTTTTTCTTACAAACGGGTATCCGGAGAAATTCATTGATAAATATCGCCATCCCAGACAAGAAACGCCTGAAGAAATATCTGTACCTAAAAAGTCCGTGACCATCTGCCTCCCCTTCAAGGGTGATAACGTGCCAAACGTGATCAAGCGACGACTTCGGTGCACTATCGAAAGGACGTATGCCGCCTCTAAATTGTTGTTCATAAGCACCACAACGGCCATCCCAGTTAGACCAGTTAAAGACATTTTGCCTATGCACGCCACATCAAACTGTATTTATGAGTTTACATGTAGTTGCGGATGCAAGTACATTGGGCGCACGCAAAGGCAGTTGTCAGCTCGGTCAGCTGAACACATGCCGAAGTGGCTGCTTAAGGCGGAAAATAAGGTACCAAGGGGCTCAATCACAAAGCACCTAGTGGACACCGGCCATACGGTGGACCCAATGGTTGCATTCAAGGTCCTGTTTTGGGCGACGACCGGAGGTCTCTTGCGCTTTGCAGAGGAACTTTGTAAGCAGCTGGACCACGTGATAAACCTGGCACTGCCATGGTAAGGATCGATTAGGGACGAAACCCTGTTCCCATGTGCGCCCTCTCATTTTGCCCCCACCCGCCCCCCTCTCCCCGGCATGACTGAATGCTCCCCGCACGTTGCACTCTAAATCACGCACACAAGTTCTCACTGTAGTCCTAACTCTCATACTTGGATGACTTCTCTCCCCCTCCCCCTCCCCCCTTGCCATATGCACCCGCACACTAGACCCATGTTTCAGATTACCTACCACGTTTTATCTCTCTAGGTCGATCGTTGATTGAACAGTTTGCCTGTCATATAACTATGCAATGACAGTGTGCAGCTGAATGAGAGGTCTCGAAATTTATGACGTCAGTAAATTCTGCGCGCTTTGTCGCCTTTGCCTTGTTCAAATTTATTCCGGGAAAACATTGCTTCACTAAAACCTGTTCGTTGTGTTTTCAAAAATTTGCACATTCAAAATTGATTTTCACTAATGTACATGGACAGCACTCGCACAATAACGCCTTATGTGCAAGTTGTTCGAAAATTCGCAACGTTTCGCAACGTTCACTTCGAAACGTATTTCTTAGGTCATTGAGAAACGAGAAGAGATAACTGGTTGCACCGGGAACAAGAGTGGGAGAGTTTAAAAAGCCCAGATCGAACTTAGCGAAAGCACTCGGCTTTAGGCTACTAGATGCTCGGCAAGATTATCAATAAAGCGGATGTCATGAAATTCTTATTAAAATTCTGATATGCGTTTTCGACTCGAAAAGATTGCTTAAGCGGGATTGTAATTTTGGTCATCTTGCATCATAATCCTATAACAATTCAGCAACTTAATCATGCGCGATCTCGAATGAACGTTCTCCAAGTCGCCTGCAGGGATTACGCTCTTTAGAAAATCACTACTTAAATGGCATAAAATTCTCTCATTGATTTTCGATAACCTTTTAAATTCAAACGTATTCTAAAGAAAACGTGCAAAAAATATTCCCTCTTTTACGTATTTAATAGAAAATCACGTATTCCTTTACACTTTATACTCGGACAAAGGGCTTGAATCGGTTTTAAAAAACTTTTTTAATTACTGAATAATTTTGAACACGACCTGCCGTTATGCTCGCATTCAGGGTTTCGAATCTGCATACTGCATATTTTCTATGCACAGAAAATCATAAATTTAGCTATAGTATTAAGAGGTTCACAAAATTTAACGGTGGATTTGAACCATATTTTAAGCGTTAAAGCAGGGCTAGTAACCGTTGAGGCACCACGTATTATAAACGGGCATTTCATGCTCTTGAAAAATTTTATAAATAAAAATCTTTTCAAATCCGAAGTACACTTCGTCCCCAAGTAAAACAAATTAAAGAGAACGTACGTTTCTGCACAGAAAGTGAAAAAATGAATATTCTTATACACGTTTTCTACGGAATATATTTAAACTTATAATGATATAGATAGTCAATCATAAACTTTTACACTAATTTAATAATTATTTTCTACATAAGGTCGTCTTTGCAGGTGGCTTGAAGGAGGTCGTTTGAAGGTCCGCATGCCAAAGAAACTGATTTTTTATGGAATTATGCTTCATGATGGCTAATTTTAAAACCCCACTTGGGAAATCTTTTCGAGTCGAAAACGCATTTCAGAATTCCTTTCAACATTTTTTGTAAATCCCGCCGAGTCGCCTTCGGCACCTAAAGATTAGGTTTTTACATGATAACTGTCGATAACGTTGGTCCACTGCATTTATATTATACGACGATGGGATTGTTCAGACGTCCCTTCACAGACCTACATATATGCATTAAAACATACATGGATCGTTTTCAATCCAAAATGTAAGTAAAAGAGGTACTTTAGCACAATGACCGTCACCTCATTAAAACTTTTCGCTAAAAATACCCTTTTACTACAATTTTCCGAGACTCAAAACTGGGGTTTTTCTTACCACAATTTAAGTTAAACTGAGTTGTCTTATTCTGTCTTGTAGTCAGAAATGATCGATGGATGCCACTTCCGTAAGTTTGCATTGTAAAAAGTTCAATGAACGCCTTCGTCAGGAAATATAAATGCTTTTGAAATTCATGCGTCTACAGCCAAAAACTGACGAATGTCAACTTATGGTCAGCACCTTAATGAATATAATCAGAAGACATATTACGAGGTATAGAGGTCTCTCAATAGGACCGAGAAGAGGCATAATAATTAGTGTCAGCTGTGCCATCGTCGAACATATGAGAATCGTGCGGATGCCAGAGAAGCTTAGTCCGTAGTTTGCAAGACCCCAATAAACTGTTCAAAACGGTTAGCGCACCCTTTACTAGAAACAGCAGAAACTTCCCAGATTAGATTTAGAGAGAGGCTGTTGTGCATACAAGAGAACCCCATGCCAACACCATGAACTGAATGCTACCGTTTGCGCCTTTATCCCCTACGTCTTGGGGCAAACTCTTTTAATTCTTTCTCCATCCACATTAAACAAAATTGCCTGACTAGATTGCCGCTGACTTCTTCTAATTATTTGCGCACATTTTCTCCCACATGTTATACGAAGGGATTAATATTACCTGATTAATTTATTATCTGCACGCTTTAAACGACCTTTTTGCCAGGTAAACTTAATGACCTTATAATAATTAGCCAAAAGTCAACATCTGCTTGTCAACTAGTATTTTGAATCATTCCATGAGAAACTTGGCATAATTAAAATTCTTAAAATGGTTTTGTTTCTTTGTAAACACACAACTTCTTCACATTTCAGTAAACGTTTATGTCAATGTTCGAAATATCACATTTTCTACCGGATCCTGTCTCTGCATCCTTCAACTCTTCAACTGACTCTCTATTTTTAAAAGCAACATTTATTATTGCAGCATCCTAATGCATTTCTAGATTGACGCCGTATCCGCCAACCACTTCGGAACAAATATTTTATAACATGCACCTTTTTTCTAGTGGTTTGGACAGAAGTATATTCGCTTTCTTCAATTAAACTACCTACAAACGAACGTCCGATTGGTTGAAAACATACTCCG